TTTGGCCTGGGATCCTTTGGCTCAGTAACATTTGCAACATTTAGAGAGATAATCCTATCTCATGTTGTGTGTATTATCTGACACAGAAACGGGGGCAAACCTGCGGGCCTGATGAATTATCTAAGAGATTTGCAGACTATGCTGTTACTCACCAACTTGCCTGCCGGGTTAAAGCTCAAGAAAAAAAACCTTTTTAAGCCAAAATTTCAAAAATTGAAGGTGAATGATATGTTCTCTGTGCCACCTCATACTTTGAAAAACTCAACTTTTTATATAATTGATCACAATGATTACTTGTATGGGTATGTCGATACGGACCAGATAAATGAGATTGAAAGCAAAGTCTTAAAAGACGGACTAGTCATATAGGGGTTTTTCCCTTTTTACTTCACAGATGTGTGATGTAAATTTAAGCAAAATTCTGTTAAAAGCCTACCCAATAACAGGGCAGCCACTCAAACTGCCCACATCGATCCTATCAAATTGCACTCATTAAGGTCTTCTTGCAGTGCTGTAGAAGGACTGTATTTTCAATTTATGAACGTTTTCTCCATTCCGTAACACCTCTTCCATGATAAATCGTTTTAAATCTACTGCGGTACTTCAGGAAATTGGACATTTTATGTGAAACATCGGAAACATTACATTTCTTCTTTCCTGACTGCCATGCTGGCTCCAAAGAAATGTCCTTATGTTGCAATTAGTTAAGATTGATAATGCATCCATGTTTTGAAATCACTGAGTAATGAGTTAAGCACGACAGGCTTAGTTACTGCTGTGTAATTGTTTTAAATGGGCTCTGCATACTGTCACAGCAGTGTGACCGCATAAATTATTAAGAAATGAGAACCACTTTAAATATAATGGCAATGCTGATGGGCAGAGTTAGTTTTTTATTAATCAGCTCTATCCTGCAACACATTGCAGCTTGTCATTTGATGGTTCCCCTGGGCACTTTCTTGTCTAAGCACAAAGAAGAACACACCACAGTTTAAAATAAGATAGCACTTGCAACCACAATTAGATCATCTCTTTAATGAATGAACAACAATCCCTTGATTATGTCATAATACAAATCCTCAGTGGCAAAGCATTCAGCACCACCAGCAAAACTGCAAAAAAAAACAACTATGCCTGTTCATGTGCACAACATCCATCCATGTTGTTTTCCTCACTAGAAACTGATAAAAAAGGAAAGTAAGTATCCTGTCGAGTAGATGCTGAGAGCAAAGGATTAGTGGAAATATCACAAGCTACAAGAAATATTGTTTAGATATGTTGAAAATCCTTTTTCTTGTTTTTTTGTTTATCGCTGCTAATTTCCAGGGTTTGTTATTGCTTGTCTACAGCAGGGTAGGTATCATTGATGTTGACCCACTAAATGAATGTTTGTTCTTTTCATGCTCAGAGAGCTTACAGGTATGGTGCCTTGTGAGCCTTGAGAACAGCTGTATTTCCCTTTTCCTTTTAGCTGTGTTCTGAATCATTTCCCCCCTCCTCCCTTTGACTTCGGACAGAGCCATCTTTCTTTTGTGTTCATTAGAAGCTAAAGCTGAGTGAAGAAGGATACTACAAATTACACATAAAATGAACATATATAAACATAGAAATTACAAACCTTTGATGGTTTATGGCACAACTGCTGTCGTAAATGTGGTGTGGTCTAGTAGCAATATCATATTGTATTGAATATAAATATATACGATTTTCAGCTTCAGATTTCACTTTGGAAACTGGCAAAATATAACTGGCAAAAATAATTGTAAATATGGCTTCTAATTTGTTTGGACAGCAAACCAACTAGATCCAAACTTCCTTTGTGGATCTGGAAGGACATGTATCCCCGGAGAAAGTCTGTATGGAAGACAATTCTGTCGCAAAAGGAAGCATTTAACAACATAATAGGGTTTTGCCTAAACGCACATCCTCTTAGATTGAGCTGTAAAACCATCTGTTGAAACAAAGATTGAACTTATTGGCTGGAATGCCCAACGGCACTGATGGCAATATCGTTTTTGATTGGATGTTGTTGTTTTTTTCTGTTTGTGTGTTGTGTTTGTGAAGGACTGATGCGCTAGTCGGGATAAAGGGGGAAAATGATAATGAGAAAATGTGAAAGTTTACATTATCGATCTTTATCTTGTGAAGACAGTGACCTGAAGCATTTGAAGAAAAGTTCCTGAATTCCCCAGGAGTCCAAGCTTCTTCCCAGTTAACGCACTCTGCACCTCACTGTACAGTTTCATTAAACAAATTTAAGTGAAAAAGTTTAGAATTTGCAGAGAAAAATAAACATTTCTTGGTATTTTGGAATAAATTAGTAGAAAAACAATTTGCTATAAGCTAATGGAAAAAGGAAACAACTGCAAATTGAACAAAAGAATCAACTTTATTTGTAAATTATGATATGAAAACTGGTTAATTTGTTGGTTTAACACTAACAGTGGCAGAAAGACATTTCCAAGACGACTCCCTTTTTGTAATGACATTTGTACAAATGACTTTATCTTTCTGTCTGAAATGGAAAAATAAACTTAATTTTAGAGAACTGCTTATGATGATAAAAGATATCCTTGCAATATCCATAAAGGACATTATATTATCATTTTCCTTTGAAACTGATGTGTGAAAGAGCGAAAAGGTCACTGCAGTCCCTTATTATCATGCATCAGCCTAGTCAGGAGAAGGTTAACATCTGTTCAGGGGGGGAAAAAGTCTTTCATAGACAGCAAAACTGCTATGTGATACCTGTGTGATACTAAATTATTCACTGCTTTTACCTGACTCTGTTAAACCAGGAATGAGGATAATGTGTTCCCTAAAAATGTCAGGTACTGAAATCATTTACAAATGTCAAGTTGAATGGGATTTGGGCCTGATTGTGCAGCACATTTTTAGAGAAACGTGTAAGATCTAATATGATCAGAATCAAAATCAGCTTACCAGAGGCTTCTGTAGTTATTGAGATAACAGGAGTCTTATTTACCAAAATGAATCAGAAGCATAATTATTTTTCTACCACCAAGGATTATCATTTTCTTAAATGGCAGCTACATTAAGACAATTTAGCTGCCATCACAAGCTCTGAATAAAGATTAACTACACTCTGGGACTTCATATTAAAACGTTTCTGCTTGGAGGTTCAGTTTGATCATGTTACTTTTGCAAAAGAAACTCAATTTCTAAATGAAATCTTTGCTGCACTTTATGGGCCGTTACTTTAACAGAATTAAAAGTAAACACAAGTACCTTGTGTTACAAACAAATGGACCAGACTTAGTTAATATAAATTCAACAAATAGGCTATGATTCCTGTATAGACCAGTGGGCAGTGTTCACCCACGTTGGGGTCATCAGGTGGGAACTACATTTTCTGTCCCAGTGGTCTGTACCTTACTTGTCCATCATTATTGTTCTCACACTCTGTCCACTTACACCCAAATCCTTCAACAATGAAACATCAAACCCTCCAAATCCAACCTTCACTGGACAAATATTAACTTTCCATCCTCTCTGCCCTGTTTCTGTCCCTGACTGCCTTTTCAAATTTGCTACACTGCCTGTTTCTAGTATGGTCACAGGGTGGCTCCAGCCCACATTTGTTATTGGTGAGAGGCAGGGTACAGGTTCCCAATCCATCACAGGGCCTCACAGAGACAAACAACTACACACACTCACATCAGCGTCACGACTTCAGGTGTTTGTGTTCCATGTTTCCACTATTTCCTGTTTTATTTCGGTAAATCTAGTTCCTTCAACATTTTAGGTTACTTTTTACTGTTATTTTTTGTATTATATCTATTTTCAGATACTGATTAGTTCTCCCCTTTTTTTGTTATTCTGTATATGTATACTTTACTTATTCTTTATCAGATAATTCATGTCTTTGCTTATTATAAGCTGCATGCATTTTTCTCATGAGTTCTCTGTTTGCTTCTGATCCAGTGTGCCATTATTAAAGCCTTAAAGATCATATCCGGGCTTTGCCTCACTCTCTGCCCCTTTACGCGTTTACTTCCTTACTTCCCTCTCAAATCATGACAGAAAGATACGAGACAAAGCTGTATAAAACATAAATGAGGGATAAATTCATCTGAAGTGCGAAATGCCCAAGCTGAGATTTTAAAAAATGCAGAAGTAATTGGGGAATATTTTTTCGTAACATTCATTGTCACTTTGTGTTCTGGCCTCCTCATTTTGAACTGTGTGTTCTCTGAGATGAAGTGGGTGGCAAAGCTTTTAATATGTTTCCCCTCATGACAGCAAAGTCAAGTGTGATTACCGTCAGAGGAGCGTACTTTCTTCCTTCTGGTGTGAGACATCATCCTTAGAAGAGCAAAAAAAGTAGTGAAAATAAATTAGCTTTAAATGTGACGTGGTAAGACTCAGATTAGGGATGGTGTAGACCTAGATACAAACATCAGTATCAGTCTCTTCCTTTAAAGGCAGCTTCCCTTTTTAAGAGGTTAAATCTGGATCCAGTCATGAACCATTTCATTGTTACCTTGTTTATTGCCAAAACAATTCATTTTGAGTTAAATCAAACAATTAAAATTACTGAGTTACTGAAGTTTTTTTGAACATTTTTCTCTTTGTAAGAAGTCAAACTGAAGGGGGGGAACTTTAATACAGCTGTAGATTGATGTCTTGGCAACAAAACAAAACATACATGCATGTGAATTCCATCATAAAGTGTGG